GATGGTTGCATGGATAAATGGATGGATGGATGGACGGATGAATGGGTGGATGGATGGATGGATGGATGGATGGATGGATGGGTAGATGGATGGATGGATGGAAGGAGAGATGTTAGAACTGATGGATGGTGGATGACTGTGAAAAGCAATGGCTCAGTAAAAAAGACAGGACAGGGAGAGATGGAAATGAGGGATAAATCAGTGAAAAATATACCCCTGTGGGTCCTGCCCCTTTGCCCCTCCTCTCATGACACCCAGCCTTGACACTCTGCCTACCCTGACAGCCAGGAGTGTCACCTTCTCTTCTCTACTTCTCCCAGGTCCAACCCCGGGTTCCCTGTCACGCAGAACTCTGCTTCCTCTCTTGGTTCCGTGACCAGTACCCATCCCGTGATGAGCATTACCATGTCACCTGGTTCTTATCTTGGAGCCCCTGCCCCACCTGTGCAGGGAAGGTGGTCAAGTTCTTGGAGGAGTACAAGAACTTGAAACTGAGCATCTTTACTGCCCGCCTCTACTACTCTTTGAACCCAGATTTCCAGCAGGGGCTTCGCAACCTGTGGGACATAGGGGTCCAGTTGGACATCATGTGCTATGATGGTGAGAGTGAAGGAGAACTGGGGACTGAACCTTGGGAGTGAGTAGGACCCAGGCAGGGGTGGCGGAGGATCTAGAATGTCCCCAGGGAGAGTGAGTGTGACTGGTGGCACTTGGAATGGAGGGCAAGGCCCTGAAGGGGGTGGGGCATGGGAGGGTCAGGAGGAAAAGGCCTCCCAGGACCCACCTGACTGCTGTCTTCCCATTGATCTCAGCATTTGAATACTGTTGGGACACCTTTGTGGACCACAATGGGATGCGCTTCCAGAGACGGAATATGTTAAAAGATTATGATCTCTTGGTCACAGAGCTTGATGAAATCCTTAGGTGAGGACGTCCTCAGCCTCCCATCCTCTCCCCGGCAGCTACTGTTGTTTCTCCCCAACTCGTGCCACCTGCACCTCCCCCCCTCCTACCCGCCCAGCGCCTCAGGTCCCCACCTTCCTCCTGCACATCCCATCTCACCCACTAACCAATCTTGTTCATAAACTGAATGTAACTGGGCATGATTATGTGTAGCTGTGAAAATTGGAAGATGTGAGTAACATCCTTACTGGGGAGGTGACTCATCAGAGAACAGGGTCCTTGAGGAGACCGACTGCATTTCTCTGCTGGGGCTTCCAGAACAAAACTCCACAGACCGAGGGACATCACAGCAAGTGTTTGTTTCCTCACAGCGTAGAGACTGGAAGGCCAAGAGCAAGTTGTCCCTGGGTTGGGCTCCTCCTAGGGCCCGTCTGCTTGGCTAGCAGAGGCCACCTTCTTGCCCCGCCCTCGCATGGGCCGTCCTCTGTGCTCACTGAGGGGGGCCCCCGGTGTCCCTCCGTGGGTCCCACTTTCCCCTTCTCATAACAACATCAGGCCGATTGGATCAGGCCCACTCTGTGGGCCTCATTTTAATCTTTTTAAAGCCCGTGTCTCAAACATAGTCACATTCTGGGTACTAGGGGTTTGGACTTGGGCATATAGATTTAGGGGGCACAGGGTTCAGCCTTTGGGGGCTATGGGATTGGATATGGGAGGACTTTCCAAAAAGCAGAAGAAAAGAGGCAGGTGGCTGAGAGTCAAGTTGACCCAGAGAAACAAGCACAAGCGTAATAGGTAAAAAACAAAAGCAAAAAGAGATATAGAAGGAACATCAGGTCCTTTGACCCCAGAGCTGCCTACTGCGTGAACTTACTGGAGGGAACGTCAGTGGCAGTGCCCCACAGGGTGGCCTGGACCAGAACACGGTGAAAAGGTGCAAGAGATCAGCCTGAGACGCTGGGATTCTGGGCAGACACAGAGGCCGAGAAAGGAAACCCAGAAGGGCAGGTGTGTGGTTGGAACACAATGAGAAAATCATTGTGGAGAGCGTCTTGGGTCCCACACGGACCCGTGTTCTCTTCCTCTGATCTTGCCCCATTAGGTGTGAATAGCGGAGGCCACACACATCTGTCTCTCCCCTCCCCTCCCTGTCTGCACTGCATCCTGAGGCAGAGGGCAGAATGCTGAAGAGTTCTGGCTGTTCAGTCGGTCTGTCCCGCTGCTCTCCCTGTCCACGTGTCCTCCAAGCACGGAGGCACCGAGGGGCACACCCATGGACGACACACTTCTCCACTCTCTCGGTCATCAAAATGGGCCCTTGAGGCCCGCTCAAATCTGTTCCTTCTGCAGAAAAGAACAAGATAGAAGGCCCATCTTAGACATGCACAGGGACTTCCAGGGTGTCACCTCCCAGACAGCCACTGTCGCGCTCCGGCACCGCCCACTTCTCTGCCCATGGGCGAAGGCAAGCGGGAATCTCCGCGTCAGAGCTTCACGAGTGCTGTCATTAGGGAAAGGCAAGAAAGGATTTCAGGCTTGCCGTCCCCCCTTAGTGCTTCTCAGCTGTCTATTGGACCCACACCTGAGTGTGCAGATCTGATCGCTCTCTTGAAAGGGCCCAGCTCATTCTGGAAGCTTCCATTGGCCAAAACTCTGGACACTCAAACAGATGGGAGTGGAGGGGACGCCATTCCCTTGCATTCTCCCACTCTTGCCCATGCTCTTGTTACCCCCCGCCTTGGGGCCATCCCAGGGCCTGGGGGCAGAATGAGGTGGTATGGGGGCACCGGCTGGAAGAAGGTCTTTGGAGACTCGCAGGCGTGTGCGGCGACAGGTGCCTGCTTGAAGGCCTCCTCTTCTTCTCCAGGAATCAACTTTCCCAGTTGCTCTTTGTTTCTCCACCTGGGGGTCTTGGTGACATGTGACAAGGAAGGCAGATAGATTGCAGGATGCACACTTCAAGTCCAGATCCCTGATCCCTGACCTGGGAGGCCCTGTAAGGGCAGCAAGGGCCCTCCTCTTTGCCCCCTCCCCACCCACTCCTACTCATGGAACAATGAGGAAGCAAGAGGGCCCAGGCCAGGACCCCGGAAGGCGGAAGGCGATGCAGCTGGGCCATTGGTTTGCAGAGTGGCTGCAGAGAGTATCTTAGCCCCTCTGTGCTGGGACCTCATCTAAGATGTGAGGACAATGATCGCCCCTCCCCCAAAGCTCTTGGGGGCTGTGGTAGAGGATGTGGGGGACACACCTGCCTTTTCCAGGGATGGGGCCGAAGATCTTCAGGGCTGAGTCCTAGGCCTCCCTTTCCAGACACCCAGAGTCCTGTCAGGAGGCTGAATGGCTCCTAGGGGTCCCATGGGGTGGTGAGGAGAGGGCTCACCCCACTCCCCAGAGAGCCTGTCCCTCCCCAAAGCCGGCTTCAGTCCTGCTCTCTCCAGCCAGTGTGTGTGTCCCAACCCCTTCTGGGATTCTACTTTCTCTTTCCCTTTTCAATAACCTGGGTCCTGCCGCCCAGGGGGGCCTGTCTCTTTCTGAGGGCGGCTGTGCCCTGGGGGAGGTCTCAGAGAAGGAGAGGGGAGTCTGAGCCTGAGGAAGTGCTGCCATCCGAGGGCCCTCCCACCCCTGGGGCCAAAGCAGGAAGGAGGTGGGGCTTCCGTGGAGGCGGCCTGGGAGGGCCCGGTCTCACTGAGGCTTTCCCAACGCAAGGCCAGCGAGAGGAATGGAGCCCTGGCGCCCCAGATAAGTGCAAGGCTGGGACAAGCCAGCTGAGGAGGGGCTACCGCACAGGGACCATCAGAGGCAGGTAAGTCGGGAGCTAAGAAGGTGGGTGGGAGCCCAGAGAAGCAACTCCAGCCTTAGGGGCTTCCCACCCCGGCTGTATCTGGCAGGATGGGGCTGGATCCACCACTCAGACTGCTCCAGGAGGACACTCACAGATAAGGGGCTTTCCCAAGGCCAAGGGCGGCTTTGTGTGAGAGAAGTGTTGCTGGAGAGCCCAGGGCCAGGCGAGGATGGGCAAGCCTGCCAAGGAGTCTGGCCCAGAACTGCAGGGACCAGGTCCCACTGCCACCCTTGCTTTCTGCCCTGGTCCTGCCCCCAGCCTGCGGTCCTCTCCCTCTCAGACCCCCCACCCTCAGGGTCTGCTCCTGCCTCTAGCCTGTGGGCACTGCCAGGGTAGATGTCCCACCACTCCCCCCCCCCGCGCCCCCCCCAGCAGCCTCTCTGCCTCCCCATCCCCAGGGCGTGGCCACTGGGTCTTCGTAAATCGCTTTCTCTAGGCATCATTACAGACTTTCCATTCAAAGATGATTGAGACAATGTTGGAGTCAGCTATAAAGGCACATTTATACATTTTATTCTAAAGTCTGGCACCATTTTTGCAAAGAATGCTCTGGTCTCTGTGAGCAACCTGAGCTGGAGTTCATCTGCCCAATACTCAGGAAGCTAATAAGAAACTGACACTGGGGGGTGCTTGGGGGGCTCAGGACTTAGGTTCAGGTCATGATCTCACAGTTCGTGGGTTCGAGCCCCGCGTCGGGCTCTGTGGTGACTGTCAGCTCAGAGCCTGAAGGCTGCTTCAGATTATGTGTCTCCCTCTCTCTCTGACCCTCCCCTGTCACACTGTCTCTTTCCCTCTCTCAGAAATAAATAAAAAACATAAAAAAAAAAAAGTAACTGACACTGGGCTTATGCAGGGAAGAGAGTTTCTGGGGTGATGCCACCCAGGACAACGGGGTGCTCCAAAGTCCTGAACTCCCTGACAGCCTGCAAGTGCTTAAGGGCAAAAATTAAGTGTCAGCGGTCCAAGGGCGTGGGTTCTCCTGATTGATCAGGGGTTAGGTAAACCTCAAGACTGATTGCTTGTCTTTCTGGTACCGACCAGTCTGGTTTCATCCAGATTGCGGTCCAAGTCCGAGAACCTTCTCGGCTACGCGCATCAGCGATGCCCTCTCTGTTGACAGAAGCAGCCCAACACCTTATCACCATGACGACCTTGCAGGCTATTTTGTTGTCATTCCCTGGGTAGCATTCATCACCTTAAGCAAAGCAGACTCTTAAGTTCCCTCCCTGTGTTTGTCCCAGCTGTGTCTAACCATGGGCCACGTGCGTTTCTGCAGACTTAATTCTGTAGATGGTTTCGTTTCTGTTCTGTGGATCCAACACTCATCTCCAAGACAAGAAGATAAATTGTTTCCCACGAACTCACTACCAATGGTGAAAACCTAAATTAGTCTTCAAACACTTGTTACAAGTTGTTTCTATCATCCCTAAAATTTAGCCGTTCAAGGTCAAGTCTCAACATTTGTACTGTTAAGATAGTGCACTTGTCTAACATTTGAAATCTTTCTGGCTTGAGCCTCCGGGTTTGCCAGGGACTGGGGGAGTTTCCCCGAATGCAGGAACTTCAGTGCTAAAATCAGGAAGCCCTGGCACAGTCAGTGTTCCTAAATGTGCTATGAATGGGCGTTTTCATTCTAATCCTCATGGTGAGGGCGGCCGGGTGCCCTGAGAGTACCAGCTTCGGGTGATGAGGTCACTGCTGGGTAATCCAAAGCCATGATGCAGACATGTGGCTTTTTCAAGGACAGTCATCCAAATCTACCTGACGCTTTACTAATTAGCATGACAGATATCAGAGATGAGTCTCCATTGATGAAATTAGTAGCTTTGTTAATTACCATAAAAGATGACAGAAATGGTTTGGTTGGTGGAAATCAGTGCTCTTTCAACGAGTCGGCTGGAAACATGGGGAAGGCACTTCTGGCCTTGCAGGTGCACGGAATGGACCCCATAGTCTGTGCCCTGAGGAATGGCACCCTTGGCTTGATTCCCACCTCCAGTTCAGTTCCAAGTGTCTGTGGTCCCTTGAGCCAGATTCCGTGATCAGCCAGGTCACATTGCTTTTGGCTGGAGTGTCTGGAAGGAAAGTGGGCTGGGGCTCCATCAAGCCTCCCCAAGTTTGTTCAGAACATTCAGTGTCTGCTTGGTCAGTAATGTCCACACGCAGCGGAGCTCTGCCACACGGAGATCTGTACACTTGTCCCGGGCAGGCAGGCAGGCTCCCAGGTCTGTCCATCTACCTGTATCTGTGCAGGGCCAACAGCATGTATCACAGAGAATCCGTGCACACGTGCCCACATGAGCCATGTCACTTTGCAACACAATATTAAATGGGGGGGAAAAAAGCAAGGTACAAGTCAGAACAGTCTATAGAGTGTAATCACAACTGGGGGTGGGAGGGAGGAAAAGCTATGTGAGTCCTTTGGCCAAAGTTGCCATCACAACTCTCCCTTGGTGACAACAGGGTTTCCTGTTCACCCGCCTCTCTGGGCTTTGTGTAGACCAAATTGTGATACCCGCACCTGAACAAAGAGCACAGAATTCGAAGAAGTCCCAGTGCATCCCCTCCCTCCCCAGAGAGGAGGGTTCTGGCATTTGACATGTCAGGCTTGAGACGCCTGTGGGGCCCTGAGCAGAGGGGTCTGGGGCACAGGACAAAGAAGGGTGAGCCAAAGACACACGCCTGATGTTCAGTTCTCAGGGAGGGGTCCCCCACCCGGCTCAAGGCGTCATGCCTGCTGAGGCCCCCAGTGTGGGCAGGACGGGTGCCCCCACCAGACTGGAGCCGGGGCCGTGTGCAGAGGCAAGGAGCACTCCCTCTCCTTCTTCTCTCTTCTCGGTCCAAGAGAAAAGGAGACTGGCCCTTCCCTCCCCGACTCCAGGGGCCCAAGTGGACCTGAGGAGTTGGGTTCAGAAGCCTGGGGTAACCCCAGAAGACACTTTCTGCATCTTTTGGTTTTCTTCCTCTTATACAGAACCACGATGACTCTACTAAAAGCAGATATATTCTACCATCACTTTGGCAACCAGTCCCGGGTCCCAAAGCCCTTCAAGCGGAGGAAAACCTATCTGTGCTACCAGCTGAAGCAACTCGAAGGTCCCACAAGTGTCAAAGGCTGCCTTCAAAACAAGGTGCCAAGCAGGCTGTCTGGTCACAGGGTGGGCCGAGAAAACACCGAGGCTGAGCGGGGTCTCTGTCAGCCCCGCTTCCCAGGAACCCCACGGTTTGCCCGTCCCCGGGCCTCTGCAGACACTCTTCCCGCCAGCAGAATTCTCTCCCTGCCCCTCTTCGAGAACTTAATATTTACTTGTCTTCTGGATCTCAGCTCAATAGCTGTTTCCCAGAAGCCAAGCGGTCCTCCAAGGACTGAGGGCTCGACCCCGCCTACGAGAACTCCCTCTGCCTGCCTTGCCCACGGCCCCGTCCTGCCCCACATCCCTCCCATTCCGACCCGCTCCTCGGGACCCCCACATTCAAACCTCTCCAGATGTCCAAAAGGCGAGGTCCGCAGAGCATTTAAGATGGTACTTGTGGGGGGGGGCGCTGCTGGGTCTGATTCAGATCAGGCTAAATTAATGGCTGAGGAAGAGAAGGAAGGAAGCTTCTTTCGCTGTCCGAGGTAAGTTCACAGGGCAGAGCCTCTCATCCCCCATGGCACCCACAGCAGGTGACCTCTGGCCTCTGCCTTGTAACCAACCCTTCCTTCTCTCTGTCTGGGGCCCTCCTAGGAAAATTGCCATGCAGAAATGTGCTTTATTAACAAGATCCAGTCGCTGCAACTGGACCCATCCCAAAGATTCGAAATCACCTGCTATATCACATGGAGCCCCTGCCCCACCTGTGCCCGGAATCTGGTGGAGTTTGTCAGACACCACACCTACCTCAGCCTGCGGATCTTTGCCTCCCGCCTATACTTCCACTGGCGCAGGAAGCATGTGCTGGGGCTGAGACACTTGCAGTCAGAGGTCCCCGTGGCCGTCATGGGCCGCCCAGGTGGGGAGAGGGCCCAGCTGTCGGGGGAGGAGAGAGGGTTTGCGGTCCCAAGAGGGAAAAGCCACTGGTGGGGGCAGGGCGGTGGGTGGAGGCTGCACTGAAGCGGGGCGCCCCAGCTGAGGCCCGAGATGTGATGCCACCACCGGAAGGGGAAAGGAAGGGGGAGCCTGTGGCCCTGCAGGGTGCAGGCTGGCTCTCCCCCTGCCCTGGGGCCTCACTGCCTTCCCCTCCTTCGTCTCAGAGTTTGAGGACTGCTGGAGGAAGTTTGTGGACCACCAGGACAGGCCATTCCAGCCCTGGAACAATCTGGACCAAAATACTATAAAGATAAAACGTCGGCTCAGGAAGATCTTGATGGTGAGAAGCTGTTCTTGCTGCAGGCACCTGGCCTCACCCCTGCAACTCCCCCTCCCAGCTCAGCCCCCCAGCCCTTCTCTCTCACTCCTCTCCTTGCTCTCTGTCCTCAGCGCCCCTCCACACCTTTCTCTTTTCTTTAGACACCCTTCCCTGCAACTCCAATAGGGGCTCCCACTTCCTGCCTTATCTCCCTTTTCTTAGGATCTTGGGGCGCCTGGTGGCTCAGTCAGTTAAACGTCCACTCTTGATTTGGGCTCAGCTCATGATCTCACTGGTTGGGAGTTCCAGCCCCACGTCGGGCTCTGCACTGACCGCGACGATCCTGCTTGAGCCTCTCTCTCTGCCCCTTTCCCCCGCCCCAAAGTAAATAAACATTAAAAATTTAAAAATGATCTTGTCAGCTTTCCATTTCCCTCAAGGCCTCCCTGGCCTCTCAGACCTGGCTCTTCTTGTCGCCTCTCTTTCTCCGGCTCCCTGCCAACGTTTGCCGCCAGTGACACTTCTGTTTTCTTTCTCTCTCAACAGCCCCAGAATGATTTAGTGAATGACTTCAGAAACCTGCAACTTGAATGACCATCGACACCCCCCCCCCCCCGCCCTCCCCCCCCCCCCCAGGGTAGGGTTCTAGGCACAAGAGAATCCCCAGCCTGGGANCGTTTGCCGCCAGTGACACTTCTGTTTTCTTTCTCTCTCAACAGCCCCAGAATGATTTAGTGAATGACTTCAGAAACCTGCAACTTGAATGACCACCCCCCCCCCCCCCCCCCGCCCTGCCTCATTCCTGGAGCACCTCAATGCTTCATAAACTGCTGACTTTTAGGAGCAAGTTGTGAGCTCCCCATGCACATTGGACCCTCTTCCCCTCCCCTGCCCCACCCCTCCTCCCAGTCCAGAAAACCTTTCTTTCCCCCTTCATTCTTTTGTTTTCTTTTATAAGTGGGGATATATTTTTGTAATTGAAAAAATAAAGATGATTTTCAAGTCTGTAGAACTTGGGTTACTTTCTAAAAGGGAAATCAGGGCTTTCTTTCATAAAACGATGAGCTTAAAGGATTTTTATTTTACAGCACCAAGGGGAAAAAACGTGTTTGAGAATTCCCTCTTGTGGATCATTTTGTCATCCGAATATTCTCTGTTCCTTCTCAGTATCTACTACGTGTCTAAATAAATACGGTAAAACTATTGAGTGCACGCAGTTGCTCATAGAATTGGTTGGGGAGTGGGGGTGGGGAATAAAACCACTTGGAACAGTGTTATTTGGTGTTCTTAGCTGAAGAAATAGGCACTGACTCTGGCTGATTAAAACAGAAAAAAGAAAGATTTTTTTTTAAATGTTGGGTGGCTCCTTGAAACTCTAGGAACGATGGATAGCTAGATTTGTAGGCTTCCAAGCCAGGAAAGAGCCCCCACACTATGTTGCAAAGCTGGTCTAATGAAGGTGGCATTGCCAGTGGCTGTGAGCTCCACCCATACCAGCCGTGCCTGAAAGCTGGAATCTGACACAGACCCCCCCCGCCTTAGCTGCCTCCACTGGGGACACCCTCATCCAGGATGGAGAGAAGGAAAGGAGAAGAAACAAGTGACAATAAATAAGGAACACAGCATAAGATGAAAAAAGTAAAATCGAGTGTGTAACACTAAATAGGAACAGAATAAATTCTTCCATGCTGCTCCCAAGAAGCACTCAAAAAAAAAAAAAAAAAAAAAAAAGGAAACCGAGAGTGAAAATAAAAGGGATGAGGAAAGATACCAGGCAAATCGAAATTTAAAAAAAAAAAGCAATAGTAGCAATATCACACAAGGTATATATTGATGAATCAAACAGGTTAAAGGACTTAACCTAATGACACAAAGGAACAATGAAAGAATAAAATAATAATCAGGAGGCGGAGTTAGGCTGGCGGAGAAGTAGGGGGACCAGGATCACCCACCTCCCTCAAACACAGCTGTATTGAGATCAGATCACTTGGAACCCCCAGGAAATCAATCACAGAGTGGCAGAAGTTTCTCCACAGTTGGAGGGAGACAGCTTGGGTGGATGAAGGTGCACGTACGGTGAATTGGGGGAGATAAAACCAAGTAGGCATGGCGAGGAGGGAACCCCTTCTGTGGAGAGACAAAAGGAAGGGAAAGGCAGAGAGAAGCTGTGAAATTTCAGTATCTAGTTGGCATAAGAGGAAAACCTCTCCGGACCACGGATGGGGATGAGAAATATGGAGAAAGCCAGTTTCTATTTTGTAAAAATAGCAGCTGAAATTCATAGGTTCCAAAAGTGTGGGACTTTCTCCAGAGCAAAGCGCAGCTGTGTGCATGCCCTGGGGGCAAGGGGAGCTGACCCCCAGTCTGGTAGTGATCTGGGGGACAAACCGAGAGAGAACAGTCCCCTCCCTTGAGTACTGTGGGAAGAAGATCTACTGCTCCCCACAAGGGCAAAAGACCCTGCAGGCACCAGCCAAAGGCCCTTTGTCTGCTGGGCAGAGTGGCCCTGCGCCGGAACCGGAACCGGGTCCACTCGGTGCAGGGCCCTTTAAGACAGCAGGTTTTGAATCCAACCGAGCACCTGGGAGGCACAGGACACTGTGGAGCAGGACAAACTGGCACCGCCCACTACTCTCTGAGGGCTTCCTGAACAGCCTGGATTGAGACACCTGGTCTAGGGGAAAGGAGATTGGGGTCTTTCCATTTTTCTCCCCATCACCAACATGGTGGGGCTTCAGGGAGCAGGACAGCGGCCCCTAGTGGAGGCAGGACGGCCTACACCAAACCCGGCCCCTCAGTGCCTGGTAACTGCTTATGGGAGTGAGAGTGATGCTGATTAGCACAGCTACCGGTCCCAGGCACCAACAGATAACTGTTTTTGTTTGCTTCTGTTCTGTTCTTTTCTTCTTCTTTCTACCCTCTTCTTTTTTTCTTTTGGAACCAGGTTATAGTTTCTGGTTTTGGTCAATTCTTATCATATATATAATACACACACACATACACATAATTGTTTGCTTGTTTGATGAGGCATTTTTATTCTATTCTTTTTACACCTCTATTTCTCCGTCGTCATCGTCGTTGTCTTCTTCTTCTTCTTCTCCTCCTCCTTGTATTTTCCTTTCTCTTTCTCTGGATTCAGTCTTATAGTTTTTTTATTCTGTTTGTTCTTTTCTCCCATCTCATTTTTCTCTTTTTATGGGATCAGGCTTACCCCCCTTCTCTTTTTTTTCCCTCCAAGGGTTACTTCAACAGGAAAATCAATGCACACCTGGTTGAAGGTCCAAATACTCCACCACTCCAAACAAGGAGGAGCTTTGCAGAGGACTGACCAGTGAGATAGAGTGGCCAAAATGCAACAGCAGAGTGCACATAACATACTCCAAAATCACTTCCTGGGGGCACCTGGGTGGCTCAGTTGGTTAAGCGTCATGATCAGGTCATGATCTCACAGTTCGTGGGTTTGAGCCCCACATCAGGCCCTGTGCTGATAGCTAGCTCAGAGCCTGGAGCTTGCTTTAGATTCTGTATCTCTCTCTCTCTCTGACCCTCTCCTGCTCACACTGTCTCTCTTTCTCTCTCAGAAATAAAGAAAAAAACATTTTAAAATTTTTAAACAAAATCACTTCCTAGAGTGCCAGGCCCTGGACAAGGTATGGCCCCTTTTTAATGGTAGTACTCACAGTGCAGGACACACAACAAGCTCTTAAAACATGCAAAAGACAGAAACTTAGCCAAAATGACAAAACAGAGGAATTCTCCCCAAAAGAAAATTAAGGAAGAAATCACAGTCAGATAATTGCTCTAAACAGATATAAACAATATATCTGAACAAGAATTTAGAATAACAGACATAAGACTAATAGATGGGCTTGAAGAAAGCATAGAAGACACCAGAGAATCTCTTGCAGCAGAGATCAAAGACTTAAGAACTAATCATGATGAATTAAGAAATGCTGTAAATGAGATGCAAAATAAACTAGATACAGTGACAGCAAGGATGGAAGAAGCAGAGGAGTGAATAGGTGAAATAAAAGATAAAATTATGGAAAATAATGAAGCCGAAAAAAAGTGGGAAAGGAAATTACTGGATCATGAGGGGAGAATTAGAGAGCTAAATGATTCCATGAAACAAAACAATATCTGTATCATAGAAGTTCCATAAGAAGAAGAGTGAGAAAAAGGACAGAATGTTTTTTTTGAACAAATTATAGCTGAGAACTTCCCTAATCTTGGAAAGGAAACATGTATCCAAGTCCAAGAAACACAGAGAACTCCCTTTAAAATCAACAGAAACAGGTCAACACCATGACATGTTATAGTGAAACTGGCAAAATACAAAGATAAAGAGAGAATTCTGAAAGCAGCTAGGGTCAGACAGTCCTTAACCTATAAGGGTAGTTGCAGACCTGTCAACTAAAACTTGGCAGGCCAGGAGGCAGTGGCAGGAAATATTCAATGTGCTGAAACGGAAAAATATGCAGCCAAGAATCCTTTATCCAGCAAGACTGTCATTCAGAATAGAAGGAGAGATAAAGACTCTCAGACAAACAAGCTAAAGGAGTTTATGACCACAAAATCAGCCCTGCAGAAGATCCTAAGGGGGACTCTGTGAATGGAAAGCAGCAAAGACTACAAAGGACCAGAGACATCACAACAAACATGAAATCACAGATAACACAATGGCATTAAATTCATATCTTTCAATAATCACTCTGAATGTAAATGGACTAAATACCCCTATCAAAAGACATAGGGTATCAGGATGGCTTTAAAAAAAAACAAACAAACAAGATTCACCTATATGCTACCTGTAAGAGACTTATTTTAGACCACAGGACACCTGTGGATGGAAAGTGAGGCGATGGAGAGCCAGCTATCATGCTAATAGACATCAAAAGAAAGCTAGAGTAGCCATACTTCTATTAGACAAACTAGATTTTAAAACAAAGACTGTAACAAGAGATGAAGAAGGGCATTATATCATAATTAAGGGATCTATCCATCAAGAAGAGCTAACAATTGTAAATATTTATGCCCCCAATATGGAACCCAAATATATAAATCAATTAATACTTTTGGATAATAATACCATAATTGTAGTGGACTTTAATACTGCACTTACAGCAAGGGATAGATCATCTAGGAAGAAAACCAATAAGGAAACAATGGCTCTGAATGACACATTGGACCAGATGGACTTAACAGATATACTTAGAACATTCCATCCTAAAGAAGCAGAATACACATTCTTCTTGAGTGCACTTGGAAATTCTCCAAAACGGATCACATTTTGGGTCACAAAACAGCCCTCAACAAGTGTAAAAAGATTGAGATCATATCATGCATATTTTCAGATCACAACACTAGAAAACTTGGCATCAGCCACAAGAAAAAATTTGGAAAGCCCCCAAACATATGAAGGTTAGAACACGCTCCTAAAGAATGAATAAGTTAACCAGAAAATTAAAGAAGAAATTAGAAAATACATGGAAGCAAGTGAAAATGAAAACACGACAGTCCAAACCCTTTGGGATGCAGCAAAGGCAGTTCCAAGGGGAAAACACATTGCAATTCAGGCTTATCTCAAGAAGCAAGAAAGGGCCCAAGTACATAACCGAACCTTACTCTTAAAG